CTCTGGGGCAGGGGTTTCCCTGCCCCCCAGGGGGACTTGGCAAGCCTAAGGCTATGCTGGAGAATGTGGGCCCAACATGGACAAAAAGCTAAACAGGATAGGGCTTACAGTCAGGGTTCCCAGCTCCAGCTTGGGAAATATCTGGAGATTTTGGGGGTGGGGCCTGAGAACTGGGGTTTGGGGATGGGCGGGACTTCAGTTGGGTATAATGCTATAGAGTCCACTTTCCAAAGTGGCCGTTTTCTCCAGGGGAACTGATCTTGATCGTCTGGAGATGAGCTGTAATCCCAGCAGATCTCCAGTCACCCCTTGAATATTAACAAAACTAGGAAGGAACACCGTGTGTGTCACTCTTTGAATCAATGCAATCATGTATTACAATTGTCTATACAATACTCAATCACGCTACTGTAAATGTTATTTGAGAACAAGACTCACTTGTACATATCTCATTTAAACCAGATTAACTATCCTCATGAACATTACAACTTGTAAAAACAGGTTGCTTACCTGTAACTTGTGATCTTCGAGTGGTCAGCTGTGCATTCACACCCATGGGATTCAGTGCACATGCGCTGGATCGATCAGCATTGTAGCAAACTCTTAATGAATTTTCATGCCCAGACCTCGGGCATGCGCAGGAACCCCACCACGCATGCCCAGAGGGGTGGGCGCGGACATCCCGCCAGGTCCTTCGAACCGCCGCGAATCAACCCCTATGGAAAAAGTAGAAGCTGACAGCAGCGGGGAAGGAGGGCGGGTGGTGTGAATGCACAGATGACCACTCGAAGATCACCAGTTACAGGTAACCAACCTGTTTATCTTCGACATGGTCTCTGTGCTTCACACCCATGGGAGATTAGTGAGCAGTGGCCTACCTGGAGGAGGGTGCTGGCAGGTCCTTACTGCGTAGCCGAAGATAAGATGTGACGTCCCATGTTAGTACTAGAGTTCTTTCGGACGTCTAGGGCGTAGTGCCTTATGAAGGTGTTAGGCGTAGCCCACGTAGCGGCTCTGCAAATGTCTGCTAGGGGAACTCCCTGGAGGAAAGCAGGGGAAGCTGCCACAGCTCGGGTTGAATGGGCCCTGATAGGGCCAGGCAATGGCTGTTTGACAATTAGGTAGCAGAGGTGGATGAGACCCGCAATCCACCTTGAGAGACACTGAGCCATAATGCGATTCCCCAGTCTCGCTGGTACATAGGAGACGAACAGCTGGGAGTCACATCTCGTTGGACGGGTTCTATTCAGGTAGAACAGAAGTGCACGTTTCGCATCCAAGGTGTGTAACAGTCTGTCCTCTGAAGATGTCGAAGCCGGGAAGAAATCCGGGAGGAAGACCTTTGCCTGTAGGTGGAATTCTGACACTACGTTTGGCAGGAACGAGATGTCAGGTACGAGGCGGACGCCATCTGGCAAGAATGACATGTAAGGAGTGTCATGTCTGAAAGCCAGTATTTCTCCAACTCGCCTTGCTGAAGTGACAGCAACCAGAAAGGCCGTTTTCCATGACAGGAATTTTAAGGCACAAGTTGCGAGCGGCTCAAAGGATTTTCTGGTTAGTTGGCGAAGGACGAGAGGAAGGTCCCAGGGGACGACAGGAGTTTTGATGGGAGGGTAGAGGTGCAACAGTCCCTTCAAAAAACATTTGGAAAGCGGGTGCGAGAACAGTGTGCATCCCTCAGCTTGAACATGGTAGGCCAAAAGTGCGGTCAAATAAACTTTTAACGAAGAGTGAGAAAGTCCCGAGTCTGCAAGAGACAGAAGGAATTGAAAAACTTTCTCGAGACCTGCAGAAGTGGCTCGAGGGCATCGTCACCCAAGGTGGAACAGAATTTCTGCCACTTGTATTGGTACGATCTTCACGTAGTGGGCTTTCTGGAATTTAGCAAAACGTTTGCTACACGGGTGGAAAAGCTGGTGACACTACTCTCCAGGCTGTCAACTTCATTTGTGACACGTCGTGGTATAGGAGAGGGGACTCGGATAGGAACAGGAGGTCCTGCGCCGGGGGAAATTGGTGGTAGACCCCCGCTGATAGGTGGAGGATGGTTGAGAACCATGGTTGTCTCGGCCACCACGGGGTTATGAGGATGCAGTCCACTCTGTCGCTGATGATTTTGCAGACCACTCTCAGAAGCAGGGGTAGTGGAGGGAAGAGTTGGAGAAACCCTCTGGACCACGGATAGAGGAGACCGTCCCCTAGAGACTGTGGGTCCCTGCCACTTCGGCTGCAAAACAGAGAACACTTATTGTTCACTCTGGTGGCAAAAACATCGACTTGGGGAACTCCCCACCTGTGGAAGAGTGGGAGAAGGTAAGTTGGGTTCATTTCCCACTCGTGGAGACTGAGTCCTGCTCGACTCAGGTGGTCTGCCTGCACATTCATGTGTCCGGAAATGTGGGTGGCGACGAGGAAGACGTTGTGGGCAATGCAGAAGTCCCATAACTGGATGGCAAGGTTGCAAAGACGTAGGGAGACAGTGCCTCCTTGCTTGTTCACATAACTGAGGGCAGTGGTATTGTCCGTGAGGACCGTGACGCATTTTCCCTCGATCAGGGGCAGGAAACTGGTGACGGCGAACTGTATTGCAAGCAGTTCCAGGAAGTTTATGTGCCGCTTTCGTTTCTGAGTGTCCCATTTGCTTCCGACACAAAGGCCCATCATGTGTGCACCCCAGCCCGACAGGGAGGCGTCTGTGGTTAGGGTAATTTGGGGTGATGGAGGATGGAAGGGTGCTCCCTGAAACAGATTGGAAGGGACAGTCCACCAAAGTAAAGACTCTCTTACGTTGGGAGGAGGGTATAGGAGGGTGGAGTGTGCGTCTTTCCTTGGATCGAAGGTAAAGACCAGGACTGACGTAGTAGCGGCCATAAGGCCTAGTAGCCTCTGTATTTGGAAGGCCGTAACTGAAGGCCGGGTACGAATGATGGTGGCTAGGTGCATGATGTCTGCAGTTGAAGTTGGAGGCAGGTAAGCCATGCAGTTGGTGGAATCCAGTAACGCACCTATGTACTTTATTTTCTGGACCAGTTGAAGTTGAGACTTTTCTAGATTCACTTGTAGGCCCAGGTTTTCCAGGAGGACCAGTGTCTCGTTGATGTTTGAGACTACGGCGTCCCTGGAAGTCGCTACCAAGAGCCAACCGTCTTGTAGGTCGAGGGTGGCCATCGAGACGTTTTTCTGGAGGAGTGGGTGGCAGGGTCTGTTGCAATGACACTATGCGGAAGCGGTGGCAGGTCACAAAGCAGTTTCGTGCCCGTAGATCTAATATTGGTCGAACGCCTCCATCCCGCTTTGGAACGGTAGAATAATGGGAATAGAATCCCCTGCCCTGTAGGTGCAGAGGCACCGGCTCGATGGCTCCCTTGTGCAGAAGGACGGACACTTCTTCCAGGAGAGCGGGGGATGGGTGTGTGGAGACGAAGACAGGGGTAATGGGGTTCTGGTGGAATTCGATACGATAGCCCCGGGTCAAGATGGACAGCACCCATTCGTCCGTGGTGATAGAAATTCCAACAAACATTGATATGAATAATTCTATTCGTGACAGTCAATTCAAAAGGACAGCACAGTCTCTCAACAAATAGTTAATGATGATCAAGCAACATAGACGGTAAACACGCGACGACGTGCATCCTGGACTTTGAGCATGTTTCAAGTCAAGATCTTCTTCACAGTTGCAATTCTACCGTAGAAATTCTAAAGCGAACTGATGCTCAACAGAATTTCTTTCTAGCAGCAGCAACCCCCCATCAAATGATTTCAATGGCATACCAACCCTAGCTACAATGAGAATGGAAACTGGGCAATTACCATCCCTCCTTCTTGCTCCAGACAAAAACCTGAAAGCATCCAACCCTACATTTCCCCCCCAAAGAGAATGCTCAGGCACAAACTAATAGAAATAACAGAAACCAAACCCAGTTCTTCTGACCCACACTGTGAGAAAAGCTACCTTGCTATCAGCAATAGTCACTGTGATGCTGTACATGTGAAAGCCGAGGGCTCCATTCACTGGATCTGTGGTTTTTCCAAGAGAGAACATCCCTGGGGACATGTGAGACACACGTCATGTGTCCAAGATGGCCCCAAGCAATTAACAACTAAGTGAGTAGACAAATGGGTACCTACCCTTAGATGGGTAGGGGGCACCCTCCTCCAACGAGGTGTGTGGTGGCGGCACAGACGGCGACATAACATCGGCGGCGGCAGAGCATCGGCGGTGGTGACGAAGTGGAATGGCGATGCAGCGGAGCGATCCCTGGTGGCCAGCAGAACAGCGTGTGGCTGATGATGGTGGAGGCGGAGACCAGGAGGCGCGCGATGACGTGCAACGCGAGGCGCGGCAGAACCTAACGGACAGAGCCGAGGCCGAAGCGGACATGGGCCGTGTGCCTGAACGGTCCCGCCAATGAAAAAGTCGTCCTGAAACGCCAGAGACTGCCTGAGAAAGAAGCCAAGCCAGAAGCAACAACAGGTCCACCACCTGGGTGCCGGTAGGCATCCCCGCCCCATCTCATGTGGCCTTAGTTAGGGATTAAGCGTTCTTAGAACGTTTTGCATCTTTGCCTCAGCACACTCATTCTTTAAGAGAGCAAACCCAAACTGCACAAAGTATACTTCATGGTTAAAGGCAGTGAATTAGAACCATATGGTAGTGAGAAAGCATTCTTCCATTTTAAAGATTCCGGTAAGCATCTGCAGCTTGATGCCAACAAGCGCAAGCTGTGTAGGAGCCAGGGAAGAAGACAAGAGTGGACATGGATTCGGTTTCAAATGTTAGCAAGGCAACGCAAGGAGGGTGATGTCAGAGGCCCTCCGATCCAGAACAAGGTCTCCAACATGCTACTCTTTAAAGACACCAAGGCCATTCTGCCAAGGATGAAAACATCTCACTGGCTGCGGATTTTTTTCCTAGTCTCTTCTCTGGCCAAAGGGCCCCATTGAATGGCAAGGCAGCCGTCCATCTGTAGGCTGTTACAAGACAAAACCCCACGGGTCGAATGTGCCTCATCCAAACACATGTTGGCATGACTCTCCACTTGTTAAAATTTCCCTTCTAAGGAACATAAGCCTGAAACTGATGCACAAAACAGAATTCACGAGTATTTTGTAGAAAACGTATGAACATATAGGGGTTTAAAGGGCGGAAAAAATGCAGTTACGGACTGTCATATTCAGCAGAACAATGCACTTCTTTAACGGCTAAAGAGTGAACATAAAGACTCCTTGATATAGAGGCCCAAGATCTGAGAAGACTTGCGCACAGACATTGCTCTCCCTTGAGTATGGGACTCTCTTTTAGGCACATTTCCTCAGGATATCTGGCAAGACTGATTCAGCCCCATCTTCGTAGGGCTTTCATGCTAGCTCGGTTCGACATCCTTCCCTCTGCTGTTTTATCGGGTGGGTTCAAGAAAATTCCATACAAAGATAAACTGGGGGAAATTGAATCTATTGGACATGTGCTTTTGTACTGTAAATTCCACTATGACATCAGTGTTGCTTACACTGAACCTGTGATGGGCAGGGGTCATTTCCTGCAGGAGTGCACAGGAGCGGAGCTCCGGCAGTAAAGAGCCCAGGGGGCGGGCACATGCAACAAGCCCCACCCCCTGCTCCCAGCAGCCCTCAGTCAGAGCAAGAAGCAGCCAGGTAAGTTGCAGAGCCCCCCCCCCCATCCAGAACAGTTGAGTGGCACCTTTAAGACTAAGTTTTATTCAGGTACAAGCTCTCCCTCTTCTGCGAGGGCAGATCTGCATGTCCCCCCCACTCCCCGATAGCTAGCAATCCAAAACAGTCCAGTGGAGCCTGAGCGGTGGGTGTTGCCTTCTGACACACTTCCGGTGATGTCAGGGGGTGTGGCATATGCAAATGAGTTATGCACATGAGTTATGTTAATGAGCTCCTGCACCTCTTTTTCTACGAAATGACCCCTGCTTTATGCTACTTGTATTTTATCTCTTATGCCAATAAAGGTATTGTATTTGTATTTGTTGTTGAGTGAACACATTTAAGTTTGAAAGAATACAAAATGCACTAAATGCTGCTCTGGAAGCAAGCAAGTGCTATGGGACAACTCATCTTATAGCACGAGATCCAATTAGGGTTGCCAGCAGGGGTCATTTTGTAGAAAAAGAGCTAGGGGAACTCATTAGCATAACTCATTAGCATATGCCACACCCCCTGACATCAGGGGCCCGGTGGTGGACCTGCAAGGCCAGTGGGAGTGCGAGGAAGCCCTGTAGAGGCCCTCCCTGGCCCCAGGCAGGCAGGGGTGGGGAGAGGCGGGGAGGAAGCAACTTACCCTCCCTCTTCTCCTGCCTCCTCCTGGCTGAATGAGGGCTGGAAGCGGGGCGGCCGGAAGCAGGAGGCGGGGCTTAGTCGTGTGCCCCGCCCCCTGCACCTCACCCGGGGGAACTGTGTTCCCCCACGTTCCCCCCCGAAATGACCTCTGGTTGCCAGGTCAGCCCGGCCACCAGCAGGAGGTGGGGGGTCGGGGTGCCAGATCCAGGCTGGGAAATTCCTGGAAATTTCGGGAAGAAGCCTGGGGAGGAGAGGAACCTCAGTGGGTGGGGTGCAATGCCATAGAGTCCATTCTCCATTTTCTCCAAGGGAACTGATCTCTGTAGTATGGAGATGAGCTGTAATTCCAGGGGAACCCCAGGGCCCCCATGGAGACGCGCATCCCTAGACCGGATATATATCATTAGGACACTGCCTATAGGAAACCACTAAGCTTCAATAGCATTAGAATACTTCTTGTGTTCTTGCTAACAGTACAACAGGGCAACTCATCTGGAATTTGACATTGCTGTGTGAGTTTGTCATCATGTGACTGGTATGTGTTTGAAGCTGGACATGGAATGTGCAAGAAGTGTCAATTTTGTCTTGGCAAATAAGTATTGAGGGTTGTTAGATCCATTTCTATGATAAGAAATTCCTGGAGCTCAAGTGCCTATTTTATGTAGGAACAACACATTTTTTCTAAAAAAACAAACCATGGGTATCCATTTCAGTGCTACGTGTTCTGAAATAAGAGGCGAATCTTTAACTGGAGTGCGCCCAACTCTGCTAAGGCAGACATTTGTGCTCACTCATTTGCATCTATGTGCTGCTGAAACACAAGTTCTGCCACCCCCTTCCACAGTCAGTTTTTCACTGGTTTGGTGACTAGTTTGATATTGTTTTAGCTATATAATATGCAGGGTATTAATTCCTCGACTACTTTGTGCATGGATGTGGTCAAAAGATAATACTGGCTATTCTGTTTCACGATTCATTTAATTGCAGGATAAATCACAGGGTGCCACTAATGTAAATGGAATATCATCCAGGCAAAGTGGACTCTGAACACCCCCATCTTGTCCCATCATTAAAATTTTCCATGGCAAAATCACGCTGGTGCTTCATGAAGTTCCGTATGCTACATTTACCCCATTGAAATGAGGCATCCATTCACTGAGGAAAACTTCACTTTGGCCCTATTCCTAATTGAAGCAGTACACTGCAAGAAGCAAGCCTGCTTTATCTGCTTAGCAACTTGTTAAGCAGCCATTTCCCATACACGTTATCAATATGGAAAATATACCAAGATGCGTATGATGGAATGCAGCCCTGAATTTGGCTCTGGAATAGGATTAAGGCCAAAATCACATTATCTGTCCTAGACACATGGCTGTCCAGTTAGCGGAGTGTATGTGTGTGTGTCAACCTTGGAGTTCACTAGGAAGATAAAGTGTCAAATGGAGGGAGGGACTATAGATGGGCATTTTGTACCAGTTGCTGGAAACAAAGGGGGAAAGGACATTAAAAAAACCAAAACCCTGCATATCTTATGTAGCTAGATTTTGTAAGGATCCATTCACAGAATCAACTGAAACCATGGGAATTTAAAAAGAGAATCAAGAGCTGTCAATCTAACAGTTTTATTATTGGGACATGTGGTGGCTCAAGTGGTTAAGACGCTGAACTGCAGGCTGTGGAAGGTTGGTAGTTCAGCAGTTCGAGACCCGAGTGCGCCGCGTGACGGTGTGAGCTCCCGTCTCTCATTCCAGCTCCTGCCAACCTAGCAGTTCGAAAGCAAGAAATTGCAAGTAGATAAATAGGTACCACTTTGGTGGGAAGGTAACAGCGTTCCGTGCACCTTGGTGTTTAGTCATGCCGGCCACATGACCACGGAAACGTCTTCGGACAGCGCTGGCTCTTCGGCTTTGAAACGGAGATGAGCACCGCAACCCTAGAGTCGGATTCGACTGGCTTTCGAGCAAGGGGACCTTTACCTTTACCTTTTTAATGTTTAGAACCTTTAAAATATCGTGAGGATATATTTCTTCGCTATTGTTTTTTGTTTTTACAAATACACAACATGACGTACTTTTAAAGTCTCACAGTGCAGTAAAAAAAATGGCGGGGGGGTTTTTTTTATTTTTTTTTTTA